TACACTTTAAGATTAAGTACAACAAAAACTATACAGTTTTATGAAAGAACAAATGAATAAGATCTTTGTGAGATTTCCACTTTGATGAATCAAGCGTGTAAGAATATCTCTTTCTGAGTGAACTAGCAATGAGTAAGTGATGAGCAGGAAATTAGCAACCTCACAATGTTGTAGAAGTTCTCCTTTTATAGCTTTTCCAAATGCTTTGAGTGATGTGCAGCTTAATATAATATTAGGATATAAGACTTTTCATTACCAAAAGGTATGGGTAGAGATATGCTTTCTGCAGGAAAGGTATGGTTTTGGAAGCCTTGGGATTTGCACCACGTCACTTGTTTGGACAAATTAGCCGTTGGTTACTTTGGAAGTAGCACCACGTCCAATCAAGTTTACAGCTTCTTCAACAAGCTTCCTTCAAGATGAAGTCTTCATAATCTGCACTTCAAAACTTGTAGCAAGCTTAAAGGTATGAAATATTTTAAGATGATCAGAGCTAAGATGATTGAGATGTTCAGAGCCTTGATAGATGATCAGATCTTAATATATCAGAGTCTCAATCTTGATCAGAGTCTTCATCAGAGTATGCAGCAGTATATGCTTGAGCGTGAATATTAATGGTAAGAGTCTGATAATCAAAGCCTCTGTTCTTGCAGTAGAAAGAACTTCAGATCATTAACGCTTCAGATCATTCTGTAGGTTTTGCTTCAGATCCTTCTGGCAGCGCTCCAGAATCTTCTGATAGTCTTGCATCTGATGCTTCAGAGCCTTGTATAGTTTCTTGTACTTATGTATTTTGCTTCTTTAAGATTCTTTAACTCAATACCTGAAACAATAATACTTGAACAAATTTTAGAGTATATATTTTCTTAATACAAAATTCCATAAAAGTTATCATCAAAACATAGAGATATAAGAAACACCAATATGTGTTCTAACAGTAAGTTACCTTTGGATGCTTCCAAATCCTTTCCACTTTGTAAAACCAACTTGTGAACATCATAACTTGGGATGCATAAATCCAATGAAGGAGTTCTTGTACTTAAAAGAAAGCTTGAATGATAAGAAAAAGTATCATGTTTGATGGAAAATGAGATATGACTTGCATCATGATGAAACTTGTCATTGAAGTTAGATACCAAAAGAGGGATTTTACACTTAGAATCCTCTAAAACCCTAATTTAACAACTTCTAGATCTTATGGTCCTCTTTGATTATTTTGGTTCCAAACATATGAAATCACTTGGTAACAACTATCATGCCCTTAGTTGACCTTGAGACCCAAGATTTAGACCCCTTTGAACCACATTTGACTTTTGTTGACCATATGAAATCCTAAGACCAAACCCACTGACTGAGGCTCTTGAATGGCTTGTGATGGCACATAATCCATGTAGGGAATCCTTAAGGTGTGTGATGAGCTTGAAAATCATGTTTATCCCCAAAGAACTAACCATAAACCTTTCCTGAACCAAAACCCTAGCCAACCCATGAGATAGGAGGAGGAGAGACAATATTTGTGTTCTTGATCCAATTGGTTGATTAACATGTCTTGATGATGATGGGAACCTTATGACATGAGATTGCCACAAAGTTGGTCTTGAGCCCTTGATTGTTGGGTAAGATACCTTGATCCCCTCTCTAAGATTAATGTTATGTATAGGTGTTAATGCAAGATGGTATGAAACATAAACCAAGATATAAGGAAAAAATGGGCAAATTTTGAGGTGCTGCAGGATGTTATCTTTGTTTACCTGTTTATCTTTGATTTGAACCGCTATAGATATATACTCTTCAGATCTAGATCTAGGATGATTATGTGTTAGGTTCTAGACTCTAGACATAGATTTAGGCATAACATTTGCCTGAGTATCAATTTTAGCTGAGTTATGTGAGACACCACCAATGAGACAATACGGTTGTTCTCTCGATGTTGCGTTAGACATAACCTCTGTCGAGGGTGATACGTGAGGATATTAGACGAAAGATTGATTTATGTTTAATTGGTTAGAAGAATGCATGTGTTATCAATTGATGAGATTCAATCCTAACAAGGCTCCACTTATTTAAAAGTCTTTATTTTAAATTTTTTATCGTTATATTTTTGCTTTAATTTATGGTACCTTTGATCTATCAACAAATTTTTACAACAAGCTTAGAAATGTAAAGACCGTTTAACGAAACTCTTTCCCCCGTATCGACCCCTATGGAGATGAAATAAGTCCTAAAGGGAATCCTTCCAAAACTAAATTTTTGCTTCTTGCAGCTTATTGCAGTTCGAATAAGATCTCATAGATTTTGCCTTAATTTCTACAAGTGAGGTCCTTAATGAAGAACATAGAGATTACAAGGAAGATGTGAGGATTAAAAAAAAGAAGGAATGGCTAAAAGCCATGATTTATGAGATGAAATATCTTCATAATAATAACATTTGGGAGATGATCGAGAAACCTACATGGGTCAGGTTAGTCACTTGTAAGTGGATTTCAAGGTTAACAAAGGAATCAAAGGAGTGATATCGAAGTGATTTAAGGAAAGGTTGGTTACTAAGGGGTTCACTCAGAAAGAAGGTTCCGACTTCAATGATGTGTTCTCACCTGTTGTAAAGTATATATTCATTTGAATGTTGCTTGCTATGTTGGCGAAGTTTAACTTAGAACTGGAATAGATGGACGTGAAGACTGCCTTCCTGTAATGTGATCTAGATGAAACAATCCTGATGAGGTAACCTGAAGGGTATGCAGAAAAAGGAAAGGAAGATTATGTGTGCAAGATGAATAAGTCTCTTTATGGCCTGAAATAATCTCCTCGATAATGGAATAGGATATTCGACAAGTTCATGGTACACATAGGTTTCAATAAGGGCTAGTTCGACCACTGTATTTACTTCATATTTTGTCCTGGAAATTCACTTGTTATTTTGTTTCTTTATATGGATGACATCCTCATAGAAAGCAACAATGTCGAAGATGTTATGAAGATGAAAGATGAACTCAATAAGAAGTTTGACATGAAGGATCTAGGAGTTGCCTCTAGGATTTTTGGGATTGACATCTGGAAAGATAGAAAGCAGTCAAAATTATGCTTATCTCAAGAGACATACCTACTAAAGATTATCGACAAGTTTGATATGTTGAATTCAAAGCATGTGGTAACACAGACTAATCCTTAGTTCAAGCTGAGTACGACTCAAAGTGCTATTACTGAAGTCAAAAGAGCCTATATGAATAACATTTCATATGCTAGTATAGTAGGTTCTTTGATGTATTATATGGTTTGTACGAGGCTAGACATAACATATGCAGTGAGCCTTGTGAACAAATACATGGTCAATCTTGGAAAGGCACTCTAGCAAGCATTGAAGTGGATTCTAAGGTACATAAATGAGTCTCTGAGCAGAGTTCTGATTTATGGTGGAACATGTGGTGGTAATGGCAAAGTCAAAATCGATGGATTTGTCAACTCTAATTATGCAGGTTGTATGGATTTCATAAAATTTATTTCTGGATATGTGCTCACTATGTTTGCCACATCAATCAGTTGGAAAGCAAAACTTCAGAAGGTTGTTGCCTTGTCAACCATTGAAGCGAGATATATTGCTCTCATTGAAGATGTGAAAGAAGCATTGTGGCTTGAAGGTTTTACTAAGAAGCTAAAACTTCAAAGTCGTGTTATTACTACTAACTGTGATAGTCAAAGTGCAATACATATGTCAAAGAATTTAGCCTATCATGAGCAAACCAAGCACATCAATGCGAGAGTGCATTTCGTCAGAGAGATAATCAAGCTTGGAGAAGTTCAAATGTTGAAGGTTTCGACTGATGACAATGTTGCTGATATGATCACAAAAACATTGTCGAGTAGCAAGTTTTTCCACTGTATGCAGTTGATAAAGCTGCATGATGAAAGCTAGTTTGTTCCCTAAATGTTGTAGAGTTTGTTCCAAGGTGGAGATTTGTGGTATTTTGGATCGAAATCTAGTATCGACAAGGATACCTTTATGTTTCGACAGAAGTTATGTATGCTGTAGTCGAAGTCAGTTCAAGTATGTTGTCGAAATATGTTAGTTTGTAGTTTAAGTTAGCATGCCAATTGGGCCAATTATTTAGTATGTTAGCTGAAAACTAGGGTTTAGTTTTCTTTTAAATAGCATACTAGTCACAATTTCTCCAACAATATCTGATAATCCTAATCAGGGGGAGAAAGTGGTGTAGTTGAGATTCAATGGTAAATATTATTCTTTAATGTGTAATTGAATCAAGAATCCAGTTTTTAACCACTTTAAATTATCTTCCTCTTCTTTTCTCTCTTTTCTTTTACTTTATAGTTTTCTTATTAACCAAAAAATCGATAATACTCTATTTTTAGACATTGTTTACCAACACCTACAATAATTAGAAGAACTTCAAAAATTAACTACTTACTTTAAGTCACACAATTTCACTTACAAAATCTACCCTAACAATGCGATTTTTTCAAAATTCAAATTAAAAAACCCACAACATTAAATAACAAAAATATTATAAAACTAACACATTAAAAAAAAGGATAGATAGACACGTCGATTCACATCTTTCCACTAGTTAACAAAATTAATTAGTATTTTATATAAAATAATTACATAATATGTAAAAACTATATATACTTCAGATGATATGCATGTGCCTTCATAATTAAGGAGGACAATATTAATTTGTAAAATATATTTTACTCAAAAAACAAACAAAATAATAATAATGATTCATGCAAATGCATATTAGTTTTTTATTCATGTATGCATGGATGTTACTAATATGATTAACATAGTTAGGTACGTGAAAAACCTTTTGATATCACTAACAGAAGTACTTTATTACAAGTAACACATCATATAATTCTCCTTCTATTTAAACCCTCCAACACCCATTATGATTTCCATCTCTCTACTTCACCTTTCACTCACACACACACTCTTTCTCTCTATCTTCCTCTTTTATATTCTCACTCATTTACATGCAAAAATAATGGACAAAAAACCCTGCAACTCATCTCAAGATCCTGAAGTCAGAAAAGGGCCATGGACCATGGAAGAAGACTTGATTTTGATCAATTATATTGCAAATCATGGTGAAGGTGTTTGGAATTCCTTAGCCAAAGCTGCTGGTAATTTTTTTACATAAAATAGTATTATTTTAAATTATATATTAATTAAATGTTGAGTATTCTTTCTATTATTTTCATTATTTCTCTAGTTTTCTCCACAAACCCTAGCTAGGGCAATATTATTTCTTCTTTTAATTTAAAAAAAAAAATGAATTTATTGATGGCTAAGGTGATATTAAATTATCAATATATATCCCAAAAACAAAAACTAATAACTTAAGTTTTTTTATCTTCTAGGTCTTAAACGTACAGGAAAGAGTTGCAGGCTTCGATGGTTAAACTACCTTCGTCCCGATGTTAGAAGAGGGAATATTACACCTGAGGAACAACTTTTGATTATGGAACTTCATTCAAAGTGGGGAAATAGGTAAGTATTTATATGACTATCATATTATTTATTTATTTATATATTAAAAATATATGGTGCATGTTCTATCCATAACTTTTGATCATAGATCTTAGTTTTTTTTTTTTAAAATAAATGATATATTTTTAAATTATTACTAATTTAAATTAAACTTTAACCATTAATCTTTGTCTTGCAAAAGATGAAAGAAATTATTGGCTCTCTCTCCTTATATAAGTAAGCACACCATGAGAAATGTTCATGGAAGGTCATTCAAGAAAAAAAGTATGCTCATGGAAGACTAAGGGAAATAACTTTGTGCTTGAGAGAAATCAAGCCAAGAAGAAGACTTCAACACATGGGTGATTGTAAAACCTATGGTTGAAAATATTGCTTATGCGTACAAAATCAGTTTCTTTGTTTTCAAAAGGCTTCAAAATGATTTGTTTTGTGGTTTTATATCCATATGGGAGAGTTGGAGAGTTTTCCTTTAAAGGTACATGTTATATGTTTTCCTTTTTTCTCAATTCTATCTTCCTCTCCCTATCTCTCCCATCCTCTCTCTCCATCCCTATCTCTCTCTCCCTCACTTGTCTTCCCTACATTGAAGATAGAGCTATAAAACATATGCATGGATGGTTTTGTAGATTTTGATCTCACTAGATCTTAAGGAATAAAGAAGTGCATCAATGTTATACATTATCTTTTTTGTTTTGTTTTTGTTTTTATAATTCTCATACCCTTCTAAAAAAAGTATTTTATTGAGTTTAAATCTTTTATTTCTTTTCTTTAAATTATTTTCAAATTTTAAACTTCTAAGCATCTATGTTATCTATGTGAAAGATGGAGTAAGGATGGTTTTTTATCGAAACATTCTAGGGTTACAATTGGATCGAGTTTTGTACACTTTATACTAGGTTTCATTCTCAATAAAAATGTTTTTTTAATATATTTTGTCATTTAAAAAATAGTAAAAAAAAATTTAAGTGATCTCTTAACAATAATAGTTTATTTTCTTATGAAAATTTTTTTTGTTTAAATTAAAATTAACAATAATTTTCTTAAAATAAAGGTAGTAATTAAAACTCAAGTACTTTTTTGTATATTTTAATAAAAAATATGACGATACAATGTTAATCAATTTGTATCTTTATGTGCTGCCTCTACGTCCTTTGCATGATTAATTAGAAAAAAGAGAGAACGATAGAATATGAATCTAAGAGAGAAATAGACATAGAGATGTTATAAAAGAGAGAACGATAGAATATTTGATGTTCACTTTGTAGAAGGTGATAGAGAGACTCTATTGAAAATATATCAAGACTTCTATTGAAAGATAGATATTGATGGAGAGGATGGAGAGAAGTCATATGTACATGATTTAGATGTTTACTTTGTAAAAAGTAAAAAAAGTTTCAAGATCTCTATTACCTCTCAATAGTAAAAGACAATAGTGAAAGGAAGAGAGGTGAGAATAATAGAGTGAATGAGGATGAGATGAAAAAATAAGAAGAGAGATCTAGAGAATGAAGAAAACTTGAGAGAACTTCTTTTACATTTTTTTTTCCAATAAAAGACAAGAGTGAGAGAAAGAAAGATAGGAGATTTTCTATAAACTAGGGAGAATATGAGTTGAGTGAGATAATAATGAAATAGTGATGGGGAGGATGAAGAGAGTTTGAGATAATTCTTACTACATAGGATTCAAATAAGGTAAAATAATTTTACAAACTAAAATTATTTTACCTCAACCTCTCTCCTACAAAAAAAAAAGATCTAGAAGAAGAAAAATAAAAGTAGAATAGAAATTATAAAATGTCATAAACAATGGAGAAAATTTTTGTTAAAGAAGATCCAATTTTTAAAATAAAAAAAAAAGTTTAGAAAAATAGTTACTTAAGTAAAAAAAAAAAAAAACTAGAATACATGGTGTGTGTATCAATAATATTTATTTATAGCATATATGATAATGATGCCATTCATTTTGCTATATAGCCATTGAATTTACAATATGGTATCTATAATAATAATTGAGAACCAAATAGCTTTGGACGAGTTCATGGCTTCTATTTTAGGTTGAGCTCATGATAAGTGGGGCATATTAAAATAGCACTCTAGTCACATGACAAAGAAATTTCAAAAAATTAGTAAAAATAAAATTCAAACAAATATTGTCATGTAAATTTCAAGAGTGCAATTTTAAATTTTAATGCACACATAATTAAACTATAGCTATAGCTTCACACCCTATCTATTGTACCTTCTCAATCTTCCAACCCAACCAAGAAAACAAGTACAAAACACTAACAAGGTAAATAAAATAGTAAATACACAAAATAATTATTTTTATTCAAATATTACCTTTATTTACATATAGTATATAAAGTTGCTAGCTTTTATAACTATACCTAGAGATAATGAAATATTATTCTAGGTAATTTTTACACGTGTCATTTTTTGAACAAAGAGCTAGAAATAAATTGAAGTTAAGATAGTGTCATAAAAGAAAAGAAGAAAAAAAATCAATAGAAAACTATTTTATGAAGATGAATGTATATGAGAAAGAAAGAGAGAAAGAGAGGTTTGAAAATGTTTGATTTCAACTACCTGAGGAATGTAAGTGATTTTGATGATCTTGGAGCATAAAATTTTTCCATTGTATCATCAAAGGGATCTTCAAGATCTTATAACAATAGTCTTTTTATATGTGAAGTGTAACATGCATATCACTTTTATTCTCAACCAAAGAACATGGTCTTACTTGGACACATGATGCATATTTAATATTTTTGTTGCTACTTTTTACTTATCAATAAAATGTGACACCATTTGACAGCTTTTAATTAATATCAACTTTATGCCTTTCTTTTTCAAGAAACATGTTATATATATTTCAATCCTTTTCTCTTTTCCACACATGCACATTTTTCTATAACCTACTATTCTCATTTTTCATATGGTTTCCAACATACCATGTTCATTTTCTTATCCTCATCAATATACTTCATAAACTAAGCATTTTATACAATGTTTTAAACCATAGTTATAGTAACCATGAATTAAGGACAAAAATTATATTAATTTTTTCTAATTATCCTTCACAAAATTTATATTTTTATATAAATTTACAATTGCATTACGACCTTCGATATATGATATTTGAAACTTTCTAATATTTAATAAGTGATAAAAAAAATATTATTTTTATCACTGATTCATTGATTCTGACTTAGTGGTATTCAATCATAATCTAATAGATATTGAAAATTTTCTTTTAACATTAATGAACTAACTATACCTGTAGTTGATAATAATGTGTGAAACCTAGGTTGATCCAAAGTGAAAAATCTTAATGTATATATAGGCAAACAAGAGCATTACTTTTTCAGTTATATGTCATTGTCTTTTTATACAAAAACAATTTCACCATTGTAGGTGGTCCAAAATTGCAAAGCATCTTCCAGGAAGAACAGACAATGAGATTAAGAATTTTTGGAGGACTAGGATACAAAAGCACATTAAGCAAGTTGATAACCCTAATCAACAAAATTTTCAACAACAAATGAGTTTAGAGATAAATGATCATCATCATCATCATCATCATAATCCTCATCAACCAAGTAGTAGCCAAGTTTCTAATTTGGTAGAGCCATTGGAAACTTATTCTCCAACTTCATATCAAGGAACTTTGGAGCCATTTCCACCTCAATTTCCAACTATCAATAATGATCATCATCAAAACTCAAATTGTTGTACCAATGACAACAATAACAACAGTTATTGGAGCATGGAGGATATCTGGTCAATGCAATTACTCAATGGAGATTAAATTAATCAATGGTTAATCATTTTAATCATATCTCTAAATAATTAATATATAAATAAATATAATAATATATATTTTCATAAGTGCAAATATGTGCCACTTATAAGCTAGAATACTATATATCTAGCTTAATAACAAATATATCATTAGCCATATGTTCATATATAAGTAGTAGTTTAATTTGAGTTTGGTGTTAATTATGAACTAAATTAGTTATATGGGTTGTAATATAGGTTCATATATATACTTTTATAAGTATATTTGCATGCTTTATTTTAACTTTTTTCAATATATAGTAAATGAGTTAGTAGGTGATGAATTATATATGTCAGATATGTGTTTGAGAAACCGCAAACTTTGAAACATAAGCATGCTATTATTTTAGTAAAATTCTATATTATTATCTCAAACTCACTTTTGTCTAAAATCATACATATACATATAAAAGTAGCTTATAATTTTTTATTTTTTAATCCCTGACTCAATCTCAAGCTAATGATTATAATTGTCCTTACATAAGCTATAAAGTATATAGATTTATTTTCGTACATACTATATAAAGACTTATAATTAGTTAGAATAAAAAATTTGTACAAAAGTAAAATAGTCAAAACTTATATATATTTAATCATTATAAGTTAGTTACTTTTCTCTTATTAACATAAACTTATAGATTAGGTAAAGTTATGTAAGAATGTGAATGATCGATGATGAAATATTATTGTGAATGGTATATAGTATCAAACTTATCTTTATAAGAATATAAATGGAAAGACAACCATGCAAGTATGGACATCAACTTGCATTCAAAATTTGGAAAAAGAAATTGCCAATACACTGCCTAACTTAAACCACTAGAAAGTTGACACGTGGTTGTGAAATAAAACACATTGGCTATTTTTGGCAAAAACTCAATTCAACTTTTTCTTATTACCTACTTTAGTGCATGGCCATGCAACATATTGGACCCCGACGTAAACCTAATTTTATTGGGGATGAGTGTATAGTTTAAGTCTTCACATGGCCCTTTAAAATCCACATTCTATATATCTATATGTTAAACAATCCATATGTAGTTACTTTCTTCACATAATATACCATTATTATTAAGTTATTCATCTTTAGGGAATAAAATATAACTAATGTTTTAAGTCGGTCTTAAACCGATATTAAAATCGATCACTAGTAAATTTAGGGTTTCAATTCTCCTAGCAATTATTATTATTATTATTATTATATATCAACGCGCGTAACTACATGTATTAATCTCTTAAACTAATTGAAATCTAATAAAAGGTTGTTTTAGAAATATTTTGGCATACGCGTCGATCTAAGATTAGACCGTGAACCAACTGATCATGCCAATGCCAAAACATTTAAGATATTATTTTTGGTAGAAATTATTATTTATTAGTATTAAAGTTAGAGATGTAATTGAAAGGGTTGTCATTTTGTGAGCACAAAGTTAGGCCAATGAGAAGATATAGTAGTAGCATTGATAGTGTACCGAATTTCAACTTTAGTTAGCAATACATATTTAGACAAAGGGATGAGAGGGTCACTTGAGACTTGTCTTGTGTTGTGTTGTATCTCATAAAGGAAATGAGGACAATTACTTGTGACTTTTTAACTGCATACTTATTTCTTTGTATCTTGAAAAGAAAAAAGAGTTTCTTTCTTACACCATCTAGCTATTTTCCATTCCATACTCAATTCAATCACATGTTTTGTGTGCATAAAACTTTTTCTATATTTAAAGGCAAAATAGCATGTGATGGATAAGGATCATTCACGTTGAGGGTCGGCCACTATATCAAAACGTGAGGTATCTAGCTATTTTTAAATATGCGACAAAATTAGTTATAGTTAATATTTGTAATTTTAGTGGAATCACTAATGTGCTATAATCATACTCAAGTAACAATTTGATTTTCTTCATTCATAATTCTAGTTACAAATTATGTTTTAGAAAAGATTTTGGACGAGTTAAAATTCAGTTGAGATGTAAGTGAAATCGGACTAATATTGTTGTTGTTTAAGTCATAATTTGAACTTTGGATTTTTTTTTCAAACGATTCTTTTTTAAGAAAAAATTATTATCAATTATTTGGTTGTTAAATGAATACCAAACGCGTGGTTTCATGAGTTGTAAGCAAGTTAGGAATCTTAGGCATGTGGTTCAACTCTTGTGTCATGCATATGAACATTTATTTTCTAAGAGGGACAACTCTATTAAGTGCTTTAGATCTTAAAAAAACTCATAATTGTGGATGGAGAATAATTTGAAAATTTTTAATAAAAAGTTACTAAATATGTATGGCAAGGTTGGTTGATAGAATGATGGTTGTGAATGAGGTGATTAATTTGATGAAAAGATTTAAGGTGATAGTCTCATTCTTAAGGCGAATTTTAAAAAAGTTTATAATTTAATTAGTTGGACTATAATATATATATATATCAAATTCAGATTTAATGAGAAGTGGGGGTGCTGAATGAGAGTTTGTGTGTTTGTTTGTAATTTTGTGGTGTTGGTAAATGAGTGTCTAACTCAAGAGATCAACATTCAGATGAGTTTGAAATAAGGGAATCTTTTAGCTCCATTCCTTTTTCTACTTATGGCTAAAAGGTTAATTGGTTTAGTTGTTTGGGCTGAGGAGATTGTTCTTTATTTTGGGTTCAAGGTGGACATACTTGGGATGTTGGTGTCTCATCTTCACTATACTAATGATACCCTTCTAGTGGCATGTAAAATTTGTGGAATAATAATATAATTCTTAGAGGTTTTGAGCTGGCTTCGAGGATTCCAATCAATTTCTTCAAGAGTAGTCTTATAATGGTTAATGTGGATCCAATTTTTCTTTCCTCAGTAGGAGATTTTCTTTATTGTGAGATTGATACACTTCCTTTTAAGTACCTTGGTTTGTGAGTGAGGGATAATTCTAAGCTTGAAGCTTTGGGATCTTTTAGTCAACCTACTGAATAAGAGGCTTCATTCCTTGAAGTATAGATATATTAGTTTGGGTGGCATAACAATTTTTCTTAAATGTCCACTTAATGTTATCCCCACTGTCATTTTTTCTTTTTTAATGATGCATCTAAAGGTTTGGAAGAAACTTGTAAGATTATAAAGAATGCTTCTTTGGGGTGGGGGTGAAAGATTCTTTAAAGATATCTTAAATTAAATGAGTTGATGTTTATAGGCCAACGAATAGATGGAGGTTAGAAGTCAAGGACCTCTGGTTGGTTAATCTTTCTTTTTTGGAGAATTGGATATTGAGGTTTCTTGCAGCGGAACGAGGTCTTTAGAGAGGTATTCTTGAAGGTAAATATGTAGCTCTAGTTATTTTTTCTCTTCAGGGGGGGAGGGGTGGTTTCCGTTCTACTTATTATTTGGTTGAAAGGGGTGTCACTTCTTGAGTTTAAAGAGGATGATATCTCAAATTGATTTGTTGACCGTATCATTAGGAAGCTTGGGTTGGGAACCTAAACTTCCTTTTGGAATGACCATTTGTTAAGGGCCATTCCCTTAAAGACTAATTTCTTTGGTTTGTTATCTAGTTTTATTTAGTCTGTTGGGTTGGTGGGAGAGATTACTTTGGTGGTTAATAAGGTCCTAGTTTGGGATCTTAAGTCGCAGAGATCATGTTTTCTGAGAGAGTAGTTTATTTTTGAGGAACTTCTCTCTCTACTTTGAGATGTCACTTTTTCATGGATAGAGATAAATGGATTTTAAAGTATACTAGAGATGATAATTTCTCAGTGGCTACTTCTCTCCATTTTAGATGGTAACTCTATTTCTTTTTCGGCTTTTCTTTCGGCTAATAGTCTGACCCTCCCCCTTATTCTAAAATAGTTGAGCTCCATCTCAGATATTGGTTTTCTCTTGACAACTTTTAAAAGACAAACTTATGCTTAGAAAGAACTTATTTAAAATAGGGGTAATTTTTTTTTATCTTAGTAGGATCACTTGTCCCTTGTGCATGGACTTGGTTGAGTCAGTTTCTAACATTTTGTTTTAACTTGTGAGGTAGTCATGTCTGTATGGTATAGGATTTTTCAGTGGTTGGGGTGACTGGTAGTTATTCCTAATGACCCTATAATTCTTTTTGAGTATTTTCTTTCTTCAAGGGGCGTGATTAAGTATATGGTTGATTATCTTATGATTTAGCACATAGTCTAGTCCATTTGGAAAATCCATAATTATTTCATCTTTAAGGGAGCCACAAAACTAGTGAAAGAAGCAGAAAGAGTAATATTTTTCTAGTTTGAAAGTGGTTTTTAGGTAAACCAGGGGTGAACTGCTCTTTTGATAGAATCTCATATGTTGATGATGAAATTTGTGATTTAAGATCTAGCTTGTTTATAGAGAAGTTGGATTTTAGTTGTTTGAGCCTTTATCTATAGGATTCCTTTAGTTTGATGTGTTGGTTGGATTCTTTTGTTGTTTCTTTGAAGTTTGATATGCAAAATTCGAAGAACATTTCAACCTCCATGGCGTCAAATGTGCTGGTGGATAAATATCAGAAGGGCATAAAGATCAGCATTATCAAATATAGAGGTAAATAGGATCTTTAATCTACTTATCAGTGAGTAGATTAAATATTATGTTTTGTATGTGTGTGTGTGTGTGCGCGCGCGCGCGCTAGATTTCAAGCGTTACATAGGGAATTCCACTTTAAAATCATAAAAATAGTTTTTGAAGTCACTTAATAGAACCTCACATCACGGACTTTGATTTTCCAAAGGTTGCGAATGTAATTTAGAAGGTTTTTCCGCTTTTGATTTTAATAGAATCTGATATGATGATGGTGAAATTGGTGATTTGATATTTAGCTTGTTTGTTGAGAAGTTGATTTTTAGTTTCTTAACCTTTTATCAGTAGGATCCTTTTGGTCTAACGTCTTGGTTGGATTAATTTGTTGTTTCTCGTTCTTTTGTTGTATTTTATTTGTTCTTTTGATAACTTTTAGTTTTAGTAATAGATTTATTTTTAATTAAATTTT